CCCAGCAGGAACTCATTAGCATAATAGGCCACACCCAACAGCAGGAACTCATTAGGATTGGCTACATTAGGGGTGTGTGGCCTAACATGCAAAGGAGTTCCTGCTACAAAAAAAGGCCCTGGGTTTTGACAACAAACAAGGTAAACAGAATAACAAGCAAAAGGTGGGTGTGGCTGGATAACCACACTTCTGGTAACATGTGGGTGCGGCCTAATGTGCTAATGAGCTGTACTGTCAGGGGGTGTGGCCCAATATGCTAATGAGTTCCTGATGTTGGGTGTGGCCTATTATGCTAATGAGTTCCTGCTGGGCTTTTTCTACAAAAAGAGCCCTGTTAAAAAGTGTCTAACATTATAATGAATACGATTTATCATGGGAATGGAAATGTTTTAGACAACCTATATAGGGTTGCCCAGGAAGAACTGGGAATTGCCAGAGCTAATTCCTCACTTGCCCTTTGGAATACCATGTTGAAGTGAAACAGCTCCCTTGTAGACCAGGCTTACTGACTAAAGCCGTTTCCAGATTCACTCATATCCTTTGTTGACACTTCAGGGTTCCCTCCACTGCATGTTTCTTTTGAGAACAGCAGAGGCTGCCAATGACTCTCCCCTAGTTCCCTTAGTGAAGTTTCTTTTCTTTGCTCCAGAAAAGGAACAAAATCACAGAGCTGTCAGTGTTGAATAAAAGAATATGGAACAGCTTATATTACCCAAGCATGGGAGAAGACTAAAGTGGCTGTCAGGATCAGACCTTAGCCTGACTATTGGTCATGTATTTGTAACTGTGGTTCCCTGATGTACATAGCTTCGCACTGTTATTGTTTACCCCGCTTGAGCTCTTTTGCTTTTTGCTTCTGATTCCCAAGCTTCATCTCCGCACCTGCAGGTGCTGTCTACGCGGTCCTCCCCTGACATTCCTGAAGGGGGGACGGGATTAAGACATGTCTGTGTGAACTGTAGATTAGCTGCATGAGCACCGCTGTGAAAGGGAAGCCTCCTCCACAGAGGGTAAAGAGAACTTCGCCATTTCTAATTATCATGGCCTTGTGGGGAAGACATGAAACGATAACATTCACACCATCCTGTTTGGACTGTATTAACCTGTCTATGCACTATGTAATCCTGACGTGTGAATGAGGGTTGGACCGAAGGTCCTGTAATCCCCAACTTTGTAATATTAATCAGTTCTGCCAAAGAGATTGGCTTTACAGCAACGTTCCTGATTTCTCAATAAAGCCTGTTAAAGGAATTATTGCGTCTGAGAGTTCCTGAAGAAGCTGACAGTGGCATGCTGTTTTGTCATCCAAAGTGTTTTCATTTTAAAGCAAACATCAAACTCCATGGAAATGTGTGGATGGTTTAATAGGGGCTCAGAGAGTAGAGTCTAGTGTAGAGAGCCAGTTTAGTGTAGTGGTGTGGTGTAGTGATGGACTCTAATCTGGAGAACTGGATTTGATTCCCCACTCCTCCTCCACATGCAGCCAGCTGGGTGACCTTGGGCCAGTCACAGCTCTCTTAGAGCTGTTCTCTCAAAAGCAGTTCTCTCAGAGCTCTCAGCCCCATCTACCTCACAAGGTGTCTGTGGTGTGGAGAGGAAGTGAAGGAGATTGTAGGCCGCTCTGAGACTCCAAGTGAAAACAGGGTATAAATCCAACTCTTCTTCTTCTAAAGTGGGCAAGATTTCCAGTAAGTCATAGGTACAAGGCTACAAAGAGCCAGTTTGGTGTAGTGGTTAAGTGCGTAGACTCTAATCTGGGGGAACCGGGTTTGATTCCCCACTCCTCCACTTGCACCTGGCTGGCTGGCCTTGGGCAAGCCATAGTTCTAATAAGAGCTGTTCTTGAAAAAGAGCCGTTTCTGTCAAGAGCTCTCTCAGTCCCACCTCCCTCACAGGGGGTGCCTGTTGTGGGGAGGGGAAGGGAAAGGAGTTTGTAAGCCGCTCTGAGACACCTTTGGGTAGTGAAGGGTCATGGGGTCTAAATCCAATCTCTTCTCTTCTTCTTCACTATGGCCTCTCAGACAAAGATATCCTCTACATCCATCCTCCTGTTCAGAGCACACAAAAGAAGCTCGATTAGAACAGGCATGCTGCTAGTCACCACCAGTGCCATTCATCCTGGCTTCTTTATATGCCAGGCGACTCAACGCTGTGAATTTTGTACCTCTGGTGTCTGCCTCTTTTGACAGCCCTGTGTAGGTACAGTTTTGTTATGTATTCTCCACTTCCCTGAGTAAAGAGATGTTAGACTCAACATTGTGGGATCTGGATGAAAGTAGAAGCCCCTTGTCTCTGAAATATTTTGCTTTATTGGCAAATATACCTACAAAGCACAGGTGGAGGCAAACCAGCATTCTTCCAAGGCATCAGATCCCCGGAGAGAAGTCCTGCCTCCCAAGGGGCTTCACTTTCAGCCAAAAAGCAGCTCCATCTGTAGCTCTTTCAAAATGCAGACTAGCTGCTTTTCTACTCTCTCTCCACCACCTTCTCTCTCTTTCCTCTTCTGCGGGAGGGATCACCTTAATCAAGTTCCTATTCAAGACTAGAACTGGCAGGGGACTCTCCCCTAACAATTAGCTCCCATTAATGAAAGAATGGTAGTCAGTGAAATAGCGTTTTTGTCAAAAGCGTGGACTCCCATTGAGTGACACCATAGGAACAACTATATTAACAGGTCCCTTCACGGTAGGGAGACAACAGTCAGACTTCAGCAGGGCAAAATTAAATGCCTTGCTTTAAGTATTTGCCACTTGAATAGAACAATTCATCATAATTTAGCTTTCACCCTATCATTTAAATGCCTTTTTCTGCACCGTATGTTCAGGCAGGGAGGAGTCCTTCTGTCTTTGTTCGGGGCTACACTCACACCTCTGGCTGGGGATCCAGGGAGCAGAAGCATTCCACTCCATTTATGCAGACTTCCAGGAGCAATCCCACCCCCAATCTGGCCATTGTTATGATCCCCTGCTAAGTAGCCTCTAAAGGGAGGGCGTTACACAAACTGTTCAGTTCTGCATAAAAGGGCTGAGAATCACAATCCATTCAAAGAGCTAGGAGTCAAACACACAAAACAGAGACGCCCCTTTTCAGCCTCTTGCCTTGCAAAGCACAATGTGATTGGAATCCTCATCTGCATGCGAATCTGACTCTGTCAGTCTTAACTTCAGCTCTTTCCAACTGCTTCAGCTTCTTATCTATGTGACTGGAGGACCTCTTTGATCCTGAGAAGAGCCCCTGAGCAGTTTGTCATTGGTGATCACAGCATCCTTCCCCCAAGTAGCACCTCTGTTACAAGGAAACTGTACTTCCCCAACACTCATTTTTGTTCCTAAGATTTTTTTCTTCTTCACCCAGCTAGTTTTTCTGTTGCAATTGAGTGTTAAGAAATTTTACGTCTTATAATTATGAGCCTATGGTGGTTTGCCGAATTTTAGAAATGTTGTATTCCTACCTGACAACCCCCCCCCCCATCTGTTCATTTTGATCTCTGTTGCCTTAGCAACTCTCAGTCAAGGGTTGGAGCCACACGATCTCTCGGGGAAGAGGGTCATGGTTTGTTTTTCTTTTTGGAATGTAGAATGTATTCTGAACAGAGCTTAGAGAGTGGATTATGTTTGGAACAGAACTGATGAACTCTCTTAAAATTCTATGAGGCCATGACCTTTTGCCTACTTTACCCTATGAAGGACTCAGAATCTTGTTCAGTGCACTTGACCGGTCTGCTCTTGCAGGCACCAGGATGATCATCTCCCTTATATATAAAAGCCGAATGGTGGTGGCACTTCTCTAGAACATTCCACACGCTCCAGAATTGGTTGGCCCCCTGGTGTGTCAATCTGTCCCTATCCACTGGCTGCATTGCTTGAGTCTCACCTCCAACATTCTAAACAGTTTACTGTTCCCCTCCCCACCATAGCTAGTCTGAACACAGAGGTTATTTGCATATGCAGCCTCATTGGCCTTTGCCTCGGAACACAGAGGTCGTTCGCATATGCGACTTGATTGGCTTTTGCCTCTAACATTCTAAACAGTTTGCTGTTCTGAGGTAAAATGTGTCCAATCTCCAGGTGAAGGCTGGAGATCACTCAGAATTACAACTGCTTTCCAGATGGCAGAGATCAGTTCCCCTGGAGAAAATGGTGGGCTCTGTATCCTTATATGCTGCTGAGGTGGCCCCCGTATGACAGCCAATGTGACGTAGCAGTCAGGGCTTCAGAGCACAGGAGAGGCTGCAGGTGTGTGGGGGGTGGAAAGCTGAAGAGGGGGAAATAAAGGTAGGTTGATGATTGGGTGGGAAGGAGATAGGGTTGCCAACTCCAGGTGGGAAATTCCTGGAGATGTGAGGGATGGAGCCTGGAGAGGGTGAGGTTTCAGGAGGCGTGGGACCTCAGACAGGTACAAAGCCATAGACTCCACCCTCCAAACCAACCATTCCCTTCTGGGTAACCATCGTTGCCAAACTCCAGGTGAGGGCTGGAGATCACTCAAAATTACAACTGTTCTTTAGGTAGCAGAGATCAGTTCCTCTGGAGAAAATGGTGGACTCAGTGTCATTATACCCTGCTGAGGTTGCCACAGCAAATTGACACTGAGTGTCCAAGGCCGGGGCACCTGCCCAGTGCCTCTTTCTAGAGGCTGTTGTATTTATTTCCACAATGGGCCTTTTTCCTAGTCCTTAATAAAGCCTGTATGTTTTATTAGCCAAACGCCTCGAGTGTTTCTCCCCTAGAGATGTCCCTGGAGAGGAGGCCCTGCCTATTCTAGGCCCTCCTGTAACATTTAACATCATGCAGAAGGCTCATATTGGTTGCTAATAACATCTTGCAGTCTGACATTTGTCTTCTTTAATTGACTTTAAAGAGTTTGCCTGAACCTGTAATCACCATTTTACTTCTTAGAGGACAGCTTATGCATTTTTGTGATAGGATACATGAATGCTCAGCCTATAAGGAAGCAAAAAATGCACAAACAGACACCAGCAAGGCTGGTCCATCCCATTTCTCAACCACAACAGCCTCACTCCATCACAGGGCCAGCGGGAATCACTGAGGTAAGGTGGCTGCAACTCATCCCATCGCACAAGAAGATTTTGGTGCCAACAGCTTCCTCCATTTCAAGATCGTTCCCTCATCTTTTGTTCTACACACACTATTATCTCTCTGCAAACTGAGGATAAATTTCCAATAAAAATACACACTCCCACAAAGTCTTTATTCCTGTCTGCACCCAATCATAGAAGGACAAACAAGGTATCTCAGAGCAAGGCTACAATCCTGGGCATACTTATCTGCAAGTAATTAACTTATCATTGAACTCTACACAGATACATAGGATAACACTTCATGAAGGCACATAGCATGTATGTCGCTAACTTCAGAATATTTCCTAGTCAGGAAGCCAATCATAAATTGCACCCTACTCCTAACCATTCAAGTCAAGAGAGGCTTGTGGGCCTCTAACCACCCATGAATTCTCCACATACTGCTTGCCTGTATAATTCTGTGGGTCACCTCTCACAGTAAGCAAAGTTTAACTGGGAAAAGATACTACCAAAGCAAATAATAGTCTTTATTTGGAAGAATGTGTTAACAAAATACTCCATTTGTTTAAAATTGGCAGATTTTTTAAAAAAAATACAGTGGCAAGTGATATGTTGAAGACCACAGTGCATTAGGCCTTCTCCTCAAAACAGTCAGCAGGAGCACCAGTCTTCCGAAGATGGGTTTGCTAGTGGCACACAGTGAACTCTGTCTGGAGGAATGAATTTAGTACATTCACTTTGTCTCTCGTCTATGGCTTATTTCCAACCAGGGAAGGCACGTGAACATTACTTGCCATGGATGATCAAATTCCCTCTTGCAGAACTGGAGTCCACAAGGAGACTTAATTTGGCCTTGGATTCATCAGATATCTTTGGCTTCGAATGAGTCCAATTTTCTCTGTTGCTGCTATAAACAGAGCAGCCATCTTTTGCTTTAGGAAGGCACTTGGCACAGGGGGCACTGCTGTTAGATATTCCAATTGAGACACATCTAGACCCTTAGAGTATACTGCACAACACCCCATTCTTGTCTTTGGCATGCAGGGTTAGAGGAAAAAAGTAAACATACAATTCTTTGAGAGTGATTAGCACTGTCATTCCAACACCAGGCCTTCCATCTGTAAAGAAGCAAGATGGTCTGTCAAGAATCAGTTGGAAAATAAGGCAGGTAGATGGTGTGGTGAGTCTAGAAGGAGGCATGATTGAAACAAGACAGAGAAGACAAGGACGGAGAGGAAGAGAGTGTACGGAAGGACGAGTAGAAAGCTATTACCATCTCAGGTATATTCATTTCCAGGGACAGAAATTTCCTTCGGGAGTCACATGTTCCTGCACAGTTGTGGGTGACGGGATACATGAGAATGTCTATGTCTAGGAAGCAGTCACTGAATACATACAGAAAGGACAGAAGTGGTTGTTTCTAAAGAAGGTATGTGGATATTATAGCTTCCCTTAAGCTTCATTCTTCATCCAGGTGTTTGGGAGACGATCGCCTTTGCCTGCGTTGCAGCTCATCCACTTGGCGCTCCAAGCCGCGCACTTTGGCCTCCAGCCGTGCCCCAGAGAGGTGCGATCCACTCAGGCGCCCCAGCAGGGCATACAGCATGAGCAGGGCCAGCAAAAGGGAAACTTGCACAGAACGATCAGGCACCATAGAGACAATGAACATGAAGCAGGACATGAAGATAAGCACCTTGAGGCCCCACATGATATGGCTCAAGATGGCGAGCATCAGATTCAGCAGCAGTGACAGCACCCAGTAGCCAATCAGAGCTGCCAGGCCCCAGAGAAGCAGTGTCTGCACCTGGTGAGGGCTCAGCTTCAGGAACTGAGTTGCATGATCCCCTGGAACACAATGAAGGAAAGCAAACAATTACATTACAAATAATTACATGCACACCATCTAATATGGTGCCACTTTCATTACTATGGCAGTATGTGAAGAAACATCAGGTGCTGAAAGGAAACATTCCTCCAACGAATGATTTAGTCAGACTGCTCCTACTAGCAGGAATAGAGCAAGAGCCCCAAACTTTGTTACCAGGGGGTGGGAACCCTATATGCCCATTTCATTCATTTATTAGAACTCTTTTGTCCAGGCAATACCATTCTCCCTGGTCCACGGCACTGCACACGAGAGAGATTGAGAGCTGTTTACAGAAGTTATGCATTGACCTACTTCCCGTCCCAGCACTCTGGCAACTAAATTATATGATGCATGTGTTTTCAAACCCTTGGTTGTCATAATTTACATTTTTAGGTAAATATATATATATATTTTTTTTAAATACAGTATGACAAATGGGCCTGTGATCACAACTGAAATACACTTACTTAGGACTTGCCTCATAAGAACATAAGAGAAGCCAAAGTTGGACCAGGCCAATGGCCCATCCAGAACAACACTCTTGTCACACAGTGGCCCAAAACACCAGGGGCCATCAGGAGGTCCAGCAGTGGGGCCAGGACACTAGAAGCCCTCCCACGGTTGCCCATCCCCCAGGCACCAAGAAGACAGAGCATCCTTTGCCCGCCCTCCATTGGGCTCCCCGGAGGAAAGCCCAACGCAAGGGGTTTGATATGGACACCCCCCCCCGTGAGCGGCGACAAGCGGACAGGAGTCTGAGATCATCCTGAAGCAGGAACCGGCAAGAGCGTCCGTGTCAGACGAGGACGTCCAGCTGTGACTCCTAGGACAGCGGGGAACCTAGAAAAACCTCCTACAATCAACTTGAGACCTTTAACACCACGAGTAACTTTGAATGCAATAGACTTAGATTCTCTTATTTGACTTTAAGCCCTTTAGACCATTTAAAGACTGACATGAGAAAATGGAGGGGTGAAGAGTTCTCTCCCCCCCCTTTTCACTTTCAAGCGGTTTGTAAAAGAGTTAAGAAGAAACTACTTTGCTATTGGGCTAAAGGAGAAGGAAAGTTGATAATAATTGGATATTTAACAGTTTGACACTGAATAAATCTGCAAGACCTTATGGTGGATTACAATACCATTTTTTAATTCTGTTCTTTGGGCTAAACATCACTTCTTTCTCCTCTTTCCTGATGTCTCCCCTCTTTGCATCCACAACTGTGCTGCTTGGAAGTATATGTTCAAGCTTTTTGCAAGACCCTATGTTGGATTACAATTACATTTTCTGGAATTATATGAACAATTTTATCTTTGCAAGACCTTATTGTGGATTATAATACTTGGCTATTTGGAATTTTTTAAAAACTCTATTTTCCTTGCATTTGAGTTTTATGAACCTCCTCTTCGTTTTTGACTTATTATGGTCTTAAAGGTAAAGGTTCCCTTGCTCGAAAGCCAGTCGAATCCGACTCTAGGGTTGTGGTGCTCATCTCCCTTTCAAAGCCAAAGAGCCAGCGCTGTCCGAAGACATTTCTGTGGCCATGTGGCCGGCATGACTAAACACCAAGGCGCACGGAACGCTGTTACCTTCCCACTGAAGTGGTACCTATTTATCTACTTGCAATTTCTTGCTTTCGAACTGCTAGGTTGGCAGGAGCTGGAACTAGAGATGGGAGCTCACTCCATCATGCGGCACCCGGGTCTCGAACTGCTGAACTACTGACTTTTCACAGCCTGCAGTTCAGCGTCTTAACCACTTGAGCCACCGCTGCTCCATTATTATGGTCTTATTTGGAACTATATGAAAAACTTAACTGGATTACAACTGAATATATTTAATAATATCTGGATTACAAATTAAGGTAACTGGCTTTTCCCTGTTTGGAGAAGAAGAAAGAAGAGCAATTTAAAAACTATTTGGAAATCTTGTTCTTAAACCTCATCTCTGCAAAACATAAACTATAAACATTGTAGTGTCTGTAATTCTCTTTCTGTGCACTGTTATTACTAAAAGATTACTGTGTTCCAATTGTACTGTCAACAGCTGATAATCCTTTTTGAAACTCTGGGAAAGTTCTTGGTTTTTTATTGGGATATAAAAATTATTGTTATTTAAACATAGACAACTCTTTGAGGTTACAGGTGTTCTCTACAATAGGTACTGTAAAACCCTTAACATGGCTAGTGGTACAGAGCAAAAAAATAAATAAATTCCCAGGTACTTCCCCAGGAATAACCAAATCTGTGAGTGTCAGTCTGGCACAAGGACACAAAGACCTACAAATCTTAATTCAAGAATCAGTGGCCACAACGGTCAAATCAGAAGTTACAGCAGCTGTGCAAGAAGCAGTTTCCACAGATGTAGAACCAATGCAGACTAAATTGGACACATTAATGCAGAAAATGACGGTCCAAATGGAAGAAATGCAGAAGCAGCTTACAAAAATCAGCATGAAATTGCTGATTTAACTAAGACAACAAATAAAGTGGAAGAAAAATCAGAAAAGATGGAACTTAAATTAGAAGCCGTAAATTCCATGGAAGAGGCCCTTATGAAACTGGAAATGGACAAAGCAGCTTACATTTTAAGATTTCAAAATATAGCTGAAAGCAAGGACGAAAATATGAAAATTGTGATGGCCCAGATCTTAGCTAAATATATGGGCACAGAAAATATAGATGAAGTCTAAAATGAAATTGATGTGGCCTACAGAATTAACTATGCAAAAAGAAATAATCTTCCCAGGAAAAAATATATGGCGTTAACAAGCATGTTGAGGAAAAATGAGATTACATATAGATGGCTATTTCCTGAAGCCATCCTCTCTACCTTTAAGGGGGAAAGATACAGAATTAATTTTACGTTTAAGGCAGAAGACTTCATTAAAATGCATGGAGAAGAACTGAAAATCGAGGAACAAGAGCTGGAACTGATGGAAGAGGAAGACCAGGATGTACAAGGAGCAGCAGGGACAACCAGGAAACCCACAAAAACCAAGGAAGTAACAAGGATTCCAGCATCACAAATAGTTACAAGACTTCAACACAAGAGTAAAGACAATACAAACACACAATCACAAGATGGACAGGAGAAAAATGAAGATAATCTCAATAAACATCAATGGTTTAAATTCACCTCAAAAAAGAAGACAGATATTTCAGCAATTTAAAATATGCAACTGGATGTCATATGCTTACAAGAGATCCACATAAAACAATCAGACCAAAAATATTTGGAAGTTAAAAACTTTGGAAACGTTTTCATTTCTGCAGGTAAGAGAAAGAAAAAAAGAGGTGTAGTCACATATGTGAAAGAATATATACATCCTGAAATGCTTTATAACTCTGAAGATGGCAGAACCTTGATAATCCAAATACAAAGACAAGGTAAAACAATTTTGATAGTAAACATATACGCACCAAATCAACATCAAGAAAAATTCTATAAATCTCTGCAAGAACTTATTTCAAAACGAAACTCTGATGTGATTTGTCTGATTGGAGATTATAATGCAGTTTTTGATAGACTTCTAGATAGAAAAACAATAACTGGGAAACAGAAAAAAGGCAAAGAACTTCCCAAGGCATTTCTACAATTGGCAGAAGAACACAATTTGGTAGATTCTTGGAAAGTCAGAAATCTGAATAAAAATTATTTTACCTTCTGCTCAGCTAAACATAAATCATGGTCAAGAATAGACATGTTCTGGATATCATCAGCAACTGTGAATGATTTAATAGAAGTGAAAATACTACCTGCAATCTTCACGGATCACAACTCTGTTCTGCTTACACTTCAAGATACACCAAAGAAAAACAGATGGACTTTAAATACTTTACTGAAGAATGATAAATTTGTAACTGAGACTAAAAAGAAATTTCAGATGTTTTTTAAACAAAACATACTGTTAGAGAATGAACTTGATGTTTGCTTTATGGACTTATATTTATTGCCACACACACAATGGACTGTGCACACACACACATAGGCTCAGAGAACTGTACATTCTAAGTCACCTGTTGTGATACAACACATAGAAGGTGCCTGCGCAAGCCTTACACCGTGAATGAGGTTTCAGTTACAGTTGCCAGCCTGGTAAAGTACCATCTCGCATGTAGTTTGAAATTTTGTAGTCTAATATTGAGTGCAGGAGTTGAGAACAGATGGTTGGACCAAACAGATTGGCATTGTTTGTAGTCCAATGTTATACCACAGTCTTTGCTCCATGCATTCTGTATTGTTGTAGGCTGTTCCCATGATTGTTCGTTTAACGATTGATAAATTATAGAAATAAGGCCTCTAGCTGATTGTTGACTTTTATAAATGAAAGATTTGAATTGAGTATGAGGGCGAGTCAACAGATGAGTGATGTCAGGATTAGTAATGATTAGTAATGAAGTGTCTAATTTGAATTATTGTATTCAGGGGATTTTGGATTCAAGTTTTGTTTCCAATTGTGATTTGGTGAGGATTTGTTTTTTGTGAAAAAGGTCTCCCAGCCTGAAAAGACCTTTTTATTTCCATATAGGGGAGTTATTTAGGCCTGGGAGAAACCTTTTTTGTCTTTAAAAGACTGTTAACGGAGATGTTGAAGGCGCTAGTATGTTACCAAGTTTGTCCCAGATTTCTAGGGATAATTTAAAAATGGATTGGAGAGTTTTAAAGGTAAGTGTATACCCAGATATTTCAGTGTCTTTTGCACCCATTTAAAGGGAAATTTATTTATTAAAGTGTGTTGTTGTTCGTTATGTAAATATATAGGGTATATCTCAGATTTTGTATAGTTGTTTTTGAATCCTGACACTTTGCTAAAGTTTTCAATTTGATGTAATAATGGGGGAAGAGTTACTTCTGGATTGGTGATATAGAAAACTGCGTCATCTGCAAAGAGACTGAGTTTATATATTTTGTCTTGTATCGTCATTCCAGTAATTTGATTATCGTTTCGTATTGCATGTGTTAATGGTTCTAAAAAAAGCGCAAAAAAAATGGGGGAAAGGGGACAACCTTGTCGGGTTCCTCTTGAGAGGGTCAGAGGGTTTCATCTGTAGTTGTTAGTTACAATTTGTGCTAAAGGATTATTGTATATAGCTGAGAATGAATTCATGAAGTGTGGTCCAAAGTCCATGCGGTGAAGGATGGCTTGAAGGAATGGTATCTCCACTCGGTCAAATGCTTTTTCAGCGTCTAGCGCCAAGATTAGAGAGTTGATTTTGTGAGTTTGGCCGTAATTGATAAGGTTCAAAGATTGTCTAATGTTGTATGTAATTGAACGATTTGGGATAAAACCCGCTTGATCGGGGTGTATATAATTGTGTATTATTAGATTTAATTGTTGGGCTAGCACCGAAGAAAATAATTTAAAGTCGTTATTCAATAACAAGATGGGCCTGTAACTTGCAAGGTCTAATTTGCCAGGTTTATGTAATACAATTATTTTAGCTTCAGACCATGTGTTAGGTAGTTGTTTTGTTGCATGACATTGTTGCAAGTTTTGGCTAATTCTGGAGCTATTATGTCCGCAAATATTTTATAAAATTCGGTTGGTAGCCCATCATTCCCTGTGGCTTTGTTTGTTTTTGCTGAGGAGATCATTTTTGTGAGTTCTGGTATGGTTATCGATTGCTCTAAAATAGATTTGTGCTCATTTGTTAATTTTAGATTAAAATGTATAGACTTCAGGTATTGATCAATTAGAGCTATAGATGGCCTTTCTGAGGTGTAGAGTTTCTGAAAAAAGTTATAAAAGTTTGAGTTACTGTCTTTGGATAGGGTATAAATCTGGCCTTGTGGCGATCTTGAGGTATAAATCAGATTAGCATTACGTTTTTTGTGTTACTCTATATTTGAGCATAGAAATAAATCTAGGGGGTTTTGTTAGGTATTTTTGTTTTAAATACATTGATTGTTTTTGGATTTTGGACGTCTCCAAAAGTTCTAATTTTTTCCGTTCTTGGTTAAGTTTCTGTAGTATTTTTTTGCCTCCAAATATGCTATGTTTAAAAAGGGGGCTTCTGGTTTGGACTCTGTGAATGGCGGTCGCATCTTCGGGGAGCTCCCGGAGTCGATTCACCCACGCACGGCCAAGGGGGGGAATCCGCACAAGCGGAGACCCTAAGGAGCCTCAGGCAGAGGTTCTGATCCGGGGCGCACAGGGGATGTGCCTCTTTCCTGATCGGATGGTCGGAAATTGAGGCTCGCCCCATACCCCAATGGCCCTGGCCGCGGCAGTGCCCCGCACGGGGACTAGCAGAGCCGCCGGTCGTCACCGGGTGATGAAGCGGACAAACGTTTAAAAGGAAGAAAATCGGCCAAAACTGCGAGTTGCCGGTCGAAAACGGGAAAAAAGGAGTGAAGCGCACGCCCCCCCCCCAACGAAAAAGCGAAAGGGAGGAGGGGAACCCCCCCCCCAGATATAACAGAGACTGATTTAACAGGAGAAGAGGGGGGGAGCGAAATTTGAAAGGAGCAGTGCTACCTTTTGGTGAATTGTTTAAAGAGAGGCAGGAAGATTTATTTGCTAGCTGCGCGGCACGAACTTTTAAAAAGTAAACAATAAAACAAAGATGTCGGGGCAGAAAAAGTTTCAGGAGAAGCTGGCAAAGAAGCTGGGAGGAACTTCCGGTGCTAGCTCCAGCCCTTTGGAGCCGGCTGTCACTCAACAGGAGAGTGATCTTCTGCGCCCCCTGCTGGAGCAAATGCAGAAAATCAATCAAACGTTGACAAGTATGGAAAGTGTTCTCAGCAACCAGCAGACACAGTTGAATGTTACAGCCAAGAAAATAGCTCACCAGCTATCCGACTGCCATTAACGACGTCGCTCCGTCCCCTAGTGTTGGTCTTTTTTATTGCAGTCGCACACTGTCTCGACATTATCAGTGAGTTATTTACTACGGCTCCAAGATCTCTTTCTTGGTCAGTCTCTGCCAGTTCGGACCCCATCAATGTGTATTTATATTTAGGATTTTTGGCCCCAATGTGCATCACTTTGCACTTGGCCACACTGAACCCCATTTGCCACATTGACGCCCACTCGCCCATCCTCGACAGATCCCTTTGGAGTGCCTCACAATCCCCCCTGGTTCTCACCACCCTGAACAACTTCGTGTCATCCACAAATTTAGCCACTTCACTGCTTACTCCCAACTCCAAATCATTAATGAACAAGTTAGAAAGCATTGGACCCAGTACTGAGCCCTGCAGTACCCCAGTGCTTACCACCCTCCACTGAAAAAATTGCCCATTTATACTCTCTCTCTGTTTTCTATGAATTAGCCAGTTTTTGATCCACAAAAGGACTTGTCCTTTTATCCCATGACTCTCGAGCTTATTTAGGAGTCTTTGATAAGGAACTTTATCAAAAGCTTTTTGGAAGTCAAGATAAACAACATCTATTGGGTCCCCCTTGTCCACCTGTTTGTTCACCCCCTCAAAGAACACTAGCAGGTTACAGAGACAAGATCTTCCCTTACAAAACCCATGCTGAGTCTTCCTCAATAGTTCTTGTTCACCAATGTGCCTATTAATTCTCTCCTTAATAATGGTTTCCACCAACTTACCCGGTATTAACGTCAGACTAACCTGTAATTTCCCAGATCGTCTCTGAAACCCTTTTCAAAGATGGGGGTGACATTAGCTACTTTCCAGTCCTCAGGAATGGAGGCAGATTTTAAAGAAAGATTAGATATTTTTGTCAGGAGATCCACAAGTTCACATTTGAGTTTTTTCAGAACTCGTGGGTGTATGCCATCCAGGCCTGGTGATTTATCAGCTTTTAAGTTTTCTTTTTAAGTTGTCTATCAGTTGTAGGACCTCCTCTCTCGTCACCTCAATCTGACTCAGGTCTTTCAACACCCGTCCTGAAATCAGTGGTTCTGTAGTGGGCAAGCACTTTTCATCTTTCACGATGTGAATTTTAGTCTTAATTCTTTTAACATGTTTCACTTTTACTGCACTTTGTGCCTATGTAAGCCGCCCTGAGCCCGCGTGCGGGGAGGGTGGGGTATAAATGAAATAAAATAAATAAAGTCAACAGGATAGCAAATAGGCATGCGTAGCAGTGCAGCCGATATTATTCATGTGGAAAGCAGGCATGAATACTGGCGGGGAGAAGCAGAGCATTTAACCTCTTCTGTTCTCACCCAAGCAGGTCTCTTACCATCAATCCCAAAGGAAGGAAGGAACTGCCCTGCAATTCGAGCCACAGCAAATAAACCTGCAGAGATCCCAGAGGATAATACCCAGAACAGGGAAGAGACATGCTGTAAAGAAAGCAGAGAGATACAATGGGATTGTAAATGTGTCACTGACTACAAAGACTGTCAGCACCAAGGTCTCAGTATATAAATTAAAATAAATATTGAGTTTATTTGGGGGGCTTAATGCTGGATTCACTGTTATCAGTTGTGAGTAGTTTATTTTTAAATACTTTGTATTTTTATACTCTTTAACTATTTATGTCTGCTTTATACTGTCATGAACCACCCCAAAACAGTCTTTGTGGGGGAGTATATAAATTGAAATAAATAAAAACCAGTTAACTGGGTGATAGAGCACAACGCCTTCAGCTGTAACACTGCTGAAGTGAAGGAGGCATGCAGAACAGGAGCTACGTAATGAGCAAAAATGACTATGTACCAGTTAAAGGCTAGTACGAAGAGAATAGGCTGTGGTTCTGTAGACTAAATGGAAGCTAAAAAAATACTTTGTATGGAAGCTTCCAGTGAACGAGGAGTTTTTTCTAGCTGGTAGTGTGCTAGGCCTATACAGCTGCCCCAAATCAGCCTCAATAGATCAAAAAAGGGTATTAAGTAGAACTGAAATTCTAACACGATTTATAATACAGACTATTAGGCCTGAAGCAGTGTATCATGAATTACAGAACAAAAAAGATTAGTCAAATACATCTGATGAAGTGAACTCTGGCTCACAAAACCTTATGCTGCAACACTTTAAACCCCATCTCAAAATTTTGTTATTTTGGTTGCAGACAACTAATGCTCTTATGTCTTCTGGAAATACAGAAAACAATGCAGGCAGAGGACATTCCCCTCCCATATCACAAAAAGCACCCCTGACATGCTAGCTTTCCATAGGTAGGAGTGCTTTTTCTTTAAAATATGGGAGGGGACTACATTCAGTTCCCAACTACATTCTGAAGTGGTCCAGTCCAAGAAAGGCAGAACCATTTAATTATTCTCCTTCAAACATGCTGCTCAGCCCACATTTGTACTACTGCTAGCTACCTGGCACACACACAACGGAACAACTAGACCTGGAATTTCTCTCTTACCTCATTCAATATCAAAAAATACTCTGGTCCAAGCAAGTCTTCCAAGGCCTCCCTCATGGCACGAGTAACGCGGGACAGAAAGTCAGGCGGCACATTCTTCTCTCGCCAAGGCTCTCTCTGGTGGTGCTGGCCATTGGTTAGGCTCACGTGGAAGACAGCTAGCAACACCAGTATAGTGAAGGTTGGTCGTAGTAGGAGCCGGTGGCTACACTGCAACAAGGAGTTCCTTCTGCTCATCTCGCCAGTTCCTGCAAACGTATCGTTGAAGACAACACATTTATCTGGTACTACAGAGCATTTATTTAGCACATGTTCACATTGCCCTTCTAAGGTGCTAAAGATGACATACTTGATTCTTCCATTTTATCCTCACAACAAGTCCCAACAGGCTGAGAAACGACTGATCCAAAGATACCCAGTGAGTTTCAAGGAGAGTAGCGATTTGAATACAGGACTCCCCAGAACTAGTCTGACACTCTAACCACTTTAGAAGGAATGACAAACAAGTTTATGATGTCATGGGCGCACGAACACCTGCATTACAAGACCACCACCTCAGCTGTTATAAAGAGAAATCACAAGGAACGACCATTGGACACTTACTGTGAAGGGTCCTTCTCCTCTGAGGACAGGAGGACATCTCCATGGGTTATTCCCACCGTGCCTTTAGGGAGGCAGGAGATAGTTTTTTCCACTTCCTGTTGGTGCCTCCGGAATAGCCCATCTTCAGTTCTGGGACTCCGAAAGCAGTGCCTGTAGCCTGAAATAACTGGCCTTGCCCTATAAAATATAACTTTGAACATTTTCAACAAAGAACAACCCAACTCTGTAGGATAGAAAACCCCAGAGTGAGAATAATAATAATAAGTGAGAGAAGAGTCAGCACAGAAGAAGAGAAACAGAGGAAGATGACAGTGGGAGGGCCGAGATGTCCTCCTGTCCTCAGAGGTGAAGGACCCTTCACGGTAAGTGTCCAATGGTCATTCTCCCTCTGAGGTGGAGGACATCTCCATGGGACCTCCCCGAGCAGTGTCCCTCATTTGGGTGGGTTGTCATCTTCTTCCAATGCCATGGCGTGCTGAAGAACTCTTCTCCCGAACGCTGCAGCTGCAGATGCCACTGTGTTGATCTTATAGTGCCTTGTAAAGGTAGAGATGGAGGACCACATAGCCACTTTACAGACTTTTTCCACCAAAGCTCTGTTAGAAAAAGCTGCGTTGGTCGCTGCACTTCTCAGCGAATGTGCCGTGATGCCACTGGGAACCTCGTGTCCCGAAGCCCGGTACGCCTCTACAATGCAGGATTTCATAACCGAACTGATTGTAGACCTAGACATCTTTTCTCCCTTGCACGGAGGAGAAATGCCGATGAACATGGACTCAGTCCTTCTCCAAGATTCCGTCCTTGCAATGTAAATTTTGAGGGCTCTTTTCACATCTAAGGTATGCCAGAGATGCTCCTTAGGATGCTTGGGATGAGGACAAAATGTAGGTAAGCATATTTCTTGTGATTGGTGAAATCTAGAGCCTATCTTGGGTCGGAAGGTAGAGGCCCTGCGGAGCACCACCTTGTCCTTGTGGAACACACAGAAGGAGGACTTCACTGACAATGCTCCGAGCTTGGACACTCGCTGTGCCGAGGTGATGGCAACTAGGAACGTTTTCATCCTTAGCCATTTCAGTCCCACCTCTCTGAGTGGTTCAAATGGTGCTTTCATGAGAGCGTCAAGTACAATGTCCAGCCTCCATGTTGGAAAACGATGCATTTGTGGAGGAGATTTGGCCATGGCCCCCTGCAGAAACAATTGAATATGAGGATGCTTGGTAATCTTGAAACCCTCTAAGGAAGGTAGAACTGTGGATAGAGCAGCCAGTTGTCTACGGAGAGTAGAAGCTTGAAGGCCTGCATCCAGTCCTTCCTGCAGAAACGAAAGAAGAGAAGCTACAGAAGGAGACAGTGAAGCCACCTTTTTCCGTCTGCATCATCTCACGAACGCCTTCCAGGTGGTGTTATATATACGAATCGTGGAGCTCCGTCTGGATGCCATGATAGTATCCATGACCTGAGTGAAATATCCTAACACTGCTAGACTGCTCCGCTCAATCTCCACGTGGTCAGACATAACCAGGCCAGATCTGGATGCCACACCGGTCCCTGCGAGAGCATGTCCGGAGACACTAGTAGTATCAATGGTGGAAGGATCGGCAACTTCTGCAGTGTCGAGAACCATGGACGTCGTATCCATCTCGGAGCCACAAAAATGACCTCCGCTCTGAGTTCCCTGATTCTCCAGAGCGTCCTGAAAATCAGAATGAATGGCGGGAACGCATACAGCAGGCCACTTTGTCGTGAAAGCATCGGTCGCCTCTGTTTCCTGATGGAAGTACCTGGTGAGAAACCTTGGTAGCTTGTGGTTCATGGGTGACACAAACAAGTCCAGTACTGGTTGCCCGAAATGAAAAACTAGCTTGTCGAAGAGACCTGGATGGAGTGCCCATTCTCCCTCCTGTAATGTCTCCCTGCTGAGCCAGTCAGCCTGGACGTTCTCGATCCCTCTTATGTGTTCTGACCTCAAGGACGCAACACTCCTCTCTGCCCAAAAGAGAATCTTCATTGCCTCCTTGTGCAGTTGGCAGGATCGCGAGCTGCCCTGTTTGTTGAGATGAGCTTTGGCAGAAATGTTGTCCGTTCTCACCAAGACGTGATGAATATGCAACGGGAAGCAGACGGGAAGCGAAGTGAACCAAGGACAGGCGGTTAACGGAAGAGACTTCTCGTTTGGTGACCAGCTCCTTGGTGTGACAGACATAGTAGTCCTTGCCTGATGTGAGGTTGTTCATGTGCACCCACCAAAGAAGACTCCTCTTGACTTTGAGGGGAACCTGCAGGTTGACAGCTTGCTTCTGCATGATGTCCAGTTGATGGGGACGAAGAAACATCTGCAATGGTCTGGCATGCATACGGCCCCATTGAATCATGTTGATACTGGCGATCATTAAACCCAGGAGTCTGGCCAACTCTATGAGAGCTGAAGACCTGCTGTTGTACACCTGTGTAGCGAGAGCCCTGATCTTCTGGGCCTTGGACGTCGGCAGAAACAGGGCAGTATGGGTGGTGTTGATCATTGCACCCAGATGCTCCACCCGCTGGGACTGAGAGAACTCTTCTCGATGTTGATTAAAAAGCTGTGATTGCGAAGACACTGCAGTGTCTCTTCGGTGTTCTGGATGGACTCCAACCGTGTACTGGCCCGGACCAATAATTCGTCTAAGTACAGATGTACATGAATTCCTTGGCTCCTGAGATGACTCGCAGGATTGATGATCAATTTGGTGAATAGTCTGGGTGCTGTGGACAGACCGAAGGGGAGAGCTCTGTACTGGAAGTGTTGACCGTAGATGCAAAGTGGATAGGTACATGGAGGTATGCCTCCCTAAGATCTATGGAGGTCAGGAACTCGTTGGGAGATAAGGAGTCCGCTACCGCTCACAGAGTTTCCATGCGGAAATGGCACAGACGAATGAATCTGTTTAAGAACTTGAGATCCAGAATCGCTCTCCAGTCTCCGTTCTTTTTGGGAACCATAAACAAGATAGAATAGACTCCCCGGCCTCTCTCGCTGTATGGAACTGGTTCGATGGCTCTGATGCTGAGAAGATGATGTATGGTTCTGTCAACAGTGGATCTCTTGCTCACAGATTTGCTTGCCGGTGATTGCAGGAATCTCTCTGGCGGCTGACGAAGAAACTCTATTGAGTATCCCTGCGACATGACCTCCACTGCCCAGGCATCCACCTGAGCCTCTGACCAAGTCCTGGCAAAATGAAGAAGTCGTGCCCCTACTGGCATCCTGGCATAGTCAATTCTGTTTGGGCTTGGACTCCCTGTTGCCTCTATCGTTCCTACTGAACTGGGTTCTATGGAAACGAGGGATGAATGAGCCCCGCTTGTTGGACTGTTTGTTCGCGTCCCATGAAGGTTTCTTGGTGTCCTGACGGAAGCGTGGCAGGGAGCGATGGAAATGAAACCAAGGCATTCTCCTGGCTAAAGCAGTAGAAGCCAGGCCCCTGGAAGCGAAAGAGATGATGTCCAAGGTAGCATCAGCCATGAAAGAATCGGACTTGAGGGTGCGGGAAATCCCCTCCAGGAAAGCACGGTTGTTTTCTGGGATGAGCTGGACAAGCTTCCTCAACCAAACGATGGATGCCCTGGCAGCGATGGACGCTGTAGACGCCGCTCTGACCATCATGGCGAAGGACTCCTGAATTCTTCGAAGAGTTCCTTCAAGCCTCTTATCAGTTGCTTCCTTGAGATGGCCTAGCCCATCTTCAGACACTAGGCCCGCAGTCTGGAGAGCAGCCACGGGGGCATCCACAGGCGAAACCTGTAACAACTAATCAACATAATTAGGCATAGCATATAATTTCTTAGTGAAAGCGGGAAACTGCTTGTTAACCCCAGGCTTGTCCCAACTAGAGTGTAGTTGGCACTCAAAGTACTCTGGAAAGGGAAATACCTTCTCCGTGCACTCCTCAGGAGGAAAGAACTCCCTGTTGCCACCTGATTTGGATTTAAGTTTAGCCCTGGCTGCCTTCTGATATTCAGAAGCAGGTACGTCATGCAGCTCTAAAGCCTTAACTGCCTTAGTTAGTAGGTATTGATAGTCCTCAGACTTGAAAAATCTACTGGACTGTTCAGGAAGCTTCAGCTCCTCAGTCTCGTCCTCAGATAAAAACTCACCCTCTTCCATGTCTTCAACGGAAGAGGCATTAGATTCTAACTCCTCCCCCCATTGTTCCTCTGTGGGCCTCCTGGGAGGGGGAGCCTTTTTTGCTGCCTTGGTGGGCCAGCTAGCAGGGAAATTAATTGAAGGACTCAGGTGAGGGGCCTCCTGCTGTGGAACCTCTGGCCTAGTATTTACCTTGGCCATTTCCTGATGGATAGACTGCCTAATGAACTCCATCAGCTCTGCAGAGTCAATCAAAACCGCATGGTCCGGGGGCTTACCCGTCTGTGCAGCACCTTGGGCTGGTTGCACCAGGGTTGGAGATGTGGAGAGACATCCTCCTGCTGTCTCCATGGCTCCCAGGATCGCCCCTGCAAGAGATCCAAGGCTCGAGGCCAGGTCTCCAAGACGGCTGCCGCCCGCCAGAAGGCGCGCATGGAAAATGGCGGGCTCATCCTCCTCCGGCTGCCATCGGTGCTTCTGGGCGCTTTGCGCCGCCGTCTCTTCTCTGGCAGCCGATGTTGGGAGTGCATGAGCAAGCCGCGAAGGCTGATCGGCCCCAAGGTCTTCTCGCGCCACCGCCAATGCGACACGCGCCTCTCCCTCGTCGCCCGAGGAAAAAAACCTCGGGAAGCTATTTTGCTGCCCTAGTGGCTGAGAACTTGTCTTCGGGTCTACAGACCCCTGGAGTCTTCACTCCAAGGTAGGAGTAGAAGAAAGGGAAAGAAGAGAAGTAGAGGAATAAGAAATGAGAACAGGCAAGGCAAAGGCTGTGAAAAAGAGAAAATGAAAGTAGACTCTAAAGTACAGCTAAGACTAGCTAGACTGTGCTGCTACTCCCGAGTGAGGCAGGAACAGAACTGAAGATGGGCTGTTCCGGAGGCACCAACAGGAAGTGGAAAAAAACTATTTCCTGCCTCCCTAAAGGCATGGTGGGAATAACCCATGGAGATGTCCTCCACCTCAGAGGGAGAATGACGAATCACATAGTATAGCCAATGAGAAGTGCAAACTCCTGAGCAAATCAAAACTATTAAATCCATCATACCATTCTAGATCCTCCAGCTACAAGGAAAATTGATTGAATATCCAAGCAGAAATGAAAAATTGTTTAAAACGACTCGTATTAAGCAACTGGACATGAATGAATGTGTGGAACAAGCCAGTACTGTAGAGAACAGAAATGGGAACATACACAGTCCTGGCAATACCTAAAGCACAGTGCAGAGGAAGTTGAGCGGTAGTAGGTGTCAAACTTGTGTCCTCGTTTGTCATGTATTTGTTGTTCTTTTTTTCTTGCCTGTAATCAGCATGTATAGGGCCATGAAGGGGGGGGGGGATGATCCGTGTGTGGGAATTGTTTCGTTTAACTGCTTTGTAACTACTTTCTCAAGAGGCCTCCCGAGTGGGAAGAATGTGAAAGACCTTGGACACCTGTCTCTGCTAGCCAGCCTGTCAATAGACAATGGAACTGTAGGCTCGTGGGTGGGTGGGAGAAAAAAAGCATGAGCTTGATTTAGGAGAGCTGAATGGATGGCTTGATTGGATGGGCCATGGGGGGGCCTGTTTGAATTAGATATAATACCAGGACTGGTGCCAAGCTCGTTAGTTCTGACACAGACGAGCTTAGCTCAACACATCATATCTCAATAAACAAATCACTACACGAGAGTGTTGTTGAGAGCGAGTTTGTTCAAGCATCTGACAGTAAGGAACAACATGACTGGATTTCTTTTTTGAAATGTGTGTATGTGAAGTGCTGACAAGCCGCAGCTGATTTATGGTGACTCCACAGGTCATAGTTGAATTAAGGCCGCAATTTTATGCACACAAAAAATGTTTAGGAGGATCTATTTTAGACTACTGTTGTAATTTATTGCATACATTACCTTACTTTATTACATTGCTTTCTATTATAGTCTTCCCTGAACCTCAGCAAGAGAGATGGACTATAAACAAAGATGTTTGTTTGTTTTTTAAATTCTGCACGGTATTCCTGGACACTCTACAATAAACAGTTCCCCCCCCCCCAATTAGCACACACTTTAGGCTCTGCTCCTGCAGAGTGCAGCAAGGGGTTGGCCTAGATGACCTGCAAGATAAGAACATAAGAGACGCCAATGTTGGATCAGACCAAAGGCCCATCCAGTCCAACACTCTGTCACAGTGGCCAGAAATACCAGGTGCCATCAGGAGGTCCACCAGTGGGGCCAGGACATCAGAAGCCCTCCCACTGTTGAACCTCCCCCCCTAAGCACCAAGAAGACAGAGCATCCCTTGCCCCAGAGTCCCTGTGGTTAATAGCCTTGTGGTTAATAGCCACTGATGGACCTCTGCTCCATATGCTTATCTAATTCCCTTTTGAAGCCGTCCATGCTTGTAGCCGCCACCACTTCCTGTGGCAGATGCATAATCTTATAAACCTCGATCATGTCACCCCTCAGTCGTCTTTTCTCCAAGCTAAAGAGCCCTAAGCGCTTTAACCTTTCCTCATAGGGAAAGTGTTCCAACCCTTTTATCATTCGAGTTGCCCTTTTCTGCACTTTTTCCAAAGCTATAATATCCTTTTTAAGGTGTGGTGCCCAGAACTGCACACAGTATTCCAAATGAGGTCTCACCATTGATTTATATAGGGGCATTATTATATTGGCTGATCTGTTTTCAATACCCTTCCTAATAATCCCCAGCATAGCATTGGCCTTCTTTATTGCAGTCACACACTGTCTTGACATTTTCAGTGAGTTATCTACTACAACTCCAAGATCTCTCTCTTGATCTGTCTCTGCCAGTTCAGACCCCATCAATGTGTATTTATATTTAGGATTTTTGGCTCCAATGTGCATCACCTTGCACTTGGCCACATTGAACCCCATTTGCCATGTTGACGCCCACTCGCCCATCTTTGACAGATCCCTTTGGAGTGCCTCACAATCTTCACTGGTTTTCACCACCCTGAACAACTTTGTATCATCCGCAAATTTAGCCACTTCACTGCTTACTCCCAACTCCAAATTATTAATGAACAAGTTAAAAATGCAGCGGACCAAGTACTGATCCCTGCAGTACCCCAATGCTTACCACTCTCCACTGAGAAAATTGCCCATTTATACTCACTCTCTGTTTTCTATTAATTAGCCAGTTTTTGAGCTTATTTAGGAGCCTTTGATGAGGAACTTTATCAAAAGCTTTCTGGAAGTCAAGGTAAACAATATCTATTGGATCCCCCTTGTCCACATGTTTGTTCACCCCCTCAAAGAACTCTAACAGGTTAGTGCGACAAGATCTTCCCTTACAGAATCCATGCTGAGTCTGCCTCAATAGGTTTTGTTCATCTATGTGCCTACTAATTCTTTCCTTAATAATGGTTTCCACCAATTTACCAGGCATCAGACTGACTGGCCTGTAATTTCCTGTCTCTCCTCTGGAACCCTTTTTAAGGATGGGAGTGACATTAGCTACCTTCCAGTTCTCAAGAATGGAGGCAGATTTTAAGGAGAGATTACATATTTTTGTAAGGAGATCCACAAGTTCACATTTGAGTTCTTTCAGAACTCTCGGATGTATGCCATCTGGGCCTGGTGATTTATCAGTTTTTAAGTTGTCTATCAGTTTTAGGACCTCCTCTCTCATCACCTCAATCTGACTCAGGTCTTTCAACACTCCTCCCGAAATCAGCGGTTCTGGATCCCTTCCCACTCTTAACACTGTGATTCTATGATGGCAAATATTAGACGAACCCAATAACCTTTTTCGCCAGCCAGGAGATCCTGTTACCACCCCACTAGTTCCTGAAGCTCCCAAGCCCCCCAACGTCTCCGTCGCACCTCCTGTCCCACAGGCAGCCTTGGGCAGAGAGGAGGAGTCATGCACAGGCTGGCCAAAACGGGCACCTGCCTTGCCCAGCACCTCCAGAACTGCAGGACAGGGATAGAGATGTAAAATTTCCGGAAATGTCGAAACTCGGGAAAAACCAGAAATGTTCGGAAATTTTTTTAAAATGCTACATTAGCACTTCTTTTTTCTTTTCCAAATTTTAAGTCATTCTGTTACTCTAGGAACATAAACTATTACGATGGACATTTTTACTTGGCATGAAATGATCACAACTAGCCTATTAAAAATATAGTGTATCCAAACAATTATTACGAACAGAATCCCCACCCACATGCAAAAACAAAACCTAAAACCTTTTTCTTTTCTTGTGACAACAGCACCTCCTAAAGAAATGCATCTTGTTCTTGCACTGAAGAGTTCAGTTTGTAACCTAGGACTTGCTTCTTCTCAGTGCATAGAAATTCGATCAATCTGATAGCATACATATTTTTTAGAAATGATTTGGAAAATATTTGAAAACCTTGACCCAAAATATGTTATTCATCGTGTTAAAATAAAACATTCCATAATCAATTTTTTTTTCTTTTTTCAATTTTTTGGGGAAAAAACCCTGCTTCCCCCCTGAATTTTTCAGGTTCCCCCCCCCCCCCCCCCCCCCCCCCCCCCCCCCCCCCGGGGCCGCCGCCCGCTCCCCC